GGGGTGGGGGGTGGGGCGTGTCGGGGGGGGGGTCACTGGGATATACTGGGAGGGACGGGGAGGCACTGGGTGCTCACCCATCCCCCCCCGTGTCCCCCCCGTCCCCAGAAGCGGCTGCGGGAGGCACTGGTGGAGCCGGAGCTGATGATCACCGACTTCGGGAAGGCCGAGAGACCTCCCATGATGCACTGGGGCTGGCAGGCCCTGCACCGCTTCATCCGCCAACATGGCCGCCCGCCTCGGCCCCGCCACCAGGTGGGGACAGCGGGGACCTTGGGGACATCGCGGGGGCTTGGGGATGTGGAGGACGCCAGGTCCTGCGCCAACATGGCTGCCACCGTGACCTCACCACCACTTGGGGACGTTGGGGACATCAAGGGTGTTGGGGACGCTGGGGACATGGGGGACGCTGGGGACATGGAGGCCACCAGGTCCTGTGCCAACATGGCCGCCACTGTGACCTCACCACCATTTGGGGACGTTGGAGACATGGGGGACGTTGGAGACATGGAGGCCACCAGGTCCTGCGCCAACATGGTCACCCGCCATGGCCCCACCACCAGTTGGGGACATCGGGGACATCAAGGGTGTTGGGGACATTGGGGACATGGGGGACATTGGGGACATGGAGGCCACCAGGTCCTGTGCCAACATGGCCGCCCACCATGGCTCCACCACCAGCTGGGGACATCAAGGGTGTTGGGGACATTGGGGACATGGAGGCCACCGTGTCCTGCATCAACATGGCTGCCCACCATGGCCCCACCACCAGTCGGTGACGCTGGGGACATTGAGGGCGTCGGGGACACGGAGGCCACTATGGCCCCACCACTGCTTGGGGACATCGAGGCCATCGGGGACATCACGGGGGACATGGAGGCCACCAAGTCCTTCGCCACCCCAACTTGTGCCCCCCCTTCCCTTTGTGCCCTGGGGGGGGGGGCTCCTCTCCGATGTCCCCAACCCCATGTGTCCCCACCCAGGGTGACGCGGCCGAGGTGGTGGCCTTGACCCGGGAGGTGGCCCCGGGGGCGGAGCTGGACGAGGACCTCCTACGGGAATTGGCCTTCCAGGCCACCGGTGACCTGGCACCCGTCAACGCCTTCATCGGGGGGTTGGCAGCCCAGGAGGTCATGAAGGTACCGGCCACCCGGGTCCCCTCCGTGGCCACCCGGGTCCCTTCGGTGGCCACCCGGGTCCCCTCGGTGGCCACCCGGGTCCCCTAACGAGCGTTGTCACCTAGGCGGTGTCGGGGAAGTTCACGCCCATCACCCAATGGCTCTACTTCGACGCCTTGGAGTGTCTCCCCGAGGAGAACAAGGAGACGGTTCTTACCGAGGAGCAGTGTCGCCCGGTGAGCACCCATGGGTGGGGTGGGCGTCGGGTGGGGGGCACCCATGGGTGGGCACCTCCTTGGGGTGGGCGTTGGCCGTGGGACGTTGGATGGAGGACACCCGTGGGTTGGGCGACTTCTTGACATCAGCCATGGGTTGGCCGCCTTCTTGGGGGCACCCATGGGTGGCTGGCACCCATGGGTGCCTTTGGGGTCCCCTGGTGGCGGGGTGACACGGCCGGGTGACATCGCGCCTTGTCCCCAGCGCAACAGCCGCTACGACGGGCAGATCGCCGTCTTCGGGGCGGAGCTGCAGGCCAAGCTGGGCGCCCAGAAGTACTTCGTGGTCAGTGTCCCCAAGTGTCCCCAGGGGTCCCCACGTGTCCTCACCCATCTACCAGGCGTCCTCCTGTCCCACCCCCGTGTCCCCAAGCCTCCGTGGCCACCTCGGGCTAAGTCCCCTGGTGTCCCCTCCCTGTCCCCAAGTGTCCCCACGTGTCCCTCAGGTGTCCCCAAGTGTCCTCACGGCTCTCCCGAGTGTCCCTGCGTGTCCCCACGGGTCCTCAGAGTGTCCCCAAGTGTCCCCAGTGTCCCCATCTCCCTCCAGGTGTCCCCTTGAGTGTCCCCACCCATTCCCAAGTGTCCCCAAGTGTCCCCTCATTCCCCCATCCCTGTGTCCCCAACCCTCCCACGCCACCTCGGCCTGCGTCCCCGAGTGTCCCCACGTGTCCCCACGTGTCCCCGAGCGCAGGTGGGGGCGGGGGCCATCGGCTGCGAGCTGCTGAAGAACTTCGCCATGGTGGGACTCGGCTGCGGCCCCGAGGGTTGCGTTACCGTCACCGACATGGACACCATCGAGAAGTCCAACCTCAACCGCCAGTTCCTCTTCCGGCCCTGGGATGTGACGGTGAGGGGGAGGAGCCTAGAGGGAGGGAGTGGGCGGAGCCTTGAGGGGCAGGGATTGTAGGGGCGGGGTCTACAGGAGCCACCATCGTGATGGGTCAAGGTTGAGTTGACCTCCGTCAACTGTCAGGCCTTGATGAGTGAGTGGGTGGGCCTTAAGGGGGAGGAGCCTGTGGATTGGGAATGAGTGGGTGGGGCCTCAGGGGGTGGGGCTTCAAGGGGTGGAGCTTATGGGGCGGAAAGCACCATGGAGTTGGTCAACATTGAGTTGGCCAACGCCGGTGGTCGAGTTGTCTTGAGGTGGAGTGGTGAGTGGGAGGGGCCTAAGTGGGTGGGCCTTAAGGGGGAGGAGCCTGGGGGGGGGCAGGGGAGGGGGCGGGGCTCTTGGGGGG